AAAGTTTTCTTTGGGTTACTGCTAATTATCATAAAAGTACATGCAAATTTTAAATCAAATTTTTTTTCAAACAACCCATGAATTGATTTAAAATTTTGCAGTTAACTTTTAAATAGTAATAGGAATCTATAATAACAAATTCAACATGCTAGCATTGTTTAAGTATATAGCCTATACATCCTTAAGAAAAATGAAAATCATAAAAATCCTTGCATGTGAATATGCAAATAATTTATCGGATATGAAGCGTACTGCCAAGGAGATTTTTATACGGAGAATATTCTTTGTATAAAGAAGAGGATCTCATATTTTAAATCTTCTTTAATATACTATTTCCAGACCACAAGTTACATGAAATTCTGAAGACGATAAAAATAATAGGAATGAGAATATCTAATTCCATTGAAACTTTATATGAGACGGAAGAAAATAATAGGTCGCATCGGACCATTATTAGGCTAATCGTGCCCGTGTCTTGCCACGATTTTTCGAGCCTATTCAACGGTACGCGATTCAAGTGGGCGCGGCCATGATCGTAAATTGTCAGAAGAGCCGCGGGACTCTTCCAGTCCGACGATGACGTTAGGACGGTGATGCGAGGACTAAAAAGGGATCGCGTGCTCACCTGTCCGTTTGCGTGTTAGTGGCTTGCAGATGCGGCGACGATTGCAGTCTCTGGTTATCAGGCGCACGAGTATCTTTAGTCTCTCCGTCCGTTCTTTTGTTTTCCGTCTGTAACAGAGAACAGAGTTGCTGTGTCAGAAATAATGCGATTCTTAGATAGGATCTATGCGAAACAATGATCTTTTTGTTATATAACATTTTTAGATCTTTATATTGAATTCTACTGTATTAAATAATGTCATGAAGTAATATAATACAATGTAGACTTGAAGTTTTTATTACGAGACAAATTACGTACCGTAATAGGATAGAGAGAAACCCTGTGCTCGACGGAATCCGATGTGGGAGGCTCGGTGATTTCCGGTTCCACGTGTCTCTCGGTCTCGGCCATCTCCTTATCTTCCTGGCCGCAAAGACCCAGCAAACAGTAGAGAAGCACGCACAAAACTGAACCGCACTTGAACAAAAACGTCAACCGTGCACTTGGTCACCCGCGTTCACCGATAATCCGTTTTCTCGCATCGCGGGCCGATTGTTTCTCGATTATTCAGCAGATTGCACCGAACAGGAGGCAACTACCTTGGTAGTCCGGAGTCGAGGATAAACTAAGAACCGCCGCGTGTCTCGGAACGAATCGATTGTTTGAACTACCCGATTGATTCCGGGGTAATCTGAGAAGGGTAAATATGCCTTCGTTAAAGGGGAGAGCCTCGGGGTAAAAAAGAGAGATACCAGTATCATAGAGAGCAAATTTCGTTCAAGGAAACTTCCTTCAATCATTATCAAGGAGTTGTAACTTGAACGTGAACTAATAGGCTTTTGCACTCGATAAAAAATCCCTAGCGACTTCGCCTCGGAAAATCTGATATCGCTTAATCCACAGGAGAACGCTTTAGAAAACTTGCAAGTGCGAATCGAACTTGCCCTTAGAGGATAATTTTGGACCCTAACGTTCTTCGCAAATGCGGCCTGTCCCGTCGCGTTTGAAATTCATGAACTCGATAAATTACGTGTCATCAATTTTTACCAAGGAAGTTGGAAAAAATTTAGGGACCATTTGTGGTGCTTAATTTCTTTCTGAAGTTCCCTCGTGCCTTTATACGAACGGAAGGTAGGGTTCGACCCCATGATGGCTATTCTATATCATGTATCTCGCCCTTCCGGCAGCTCTTCGTCATCAGTTCTGAACGAAATTAATGCTCGTTGCGCCCCAATGTGTAACTCGAAATATTGTTCTGCCCGATGAATGAGTTCCTGACATTTATAATTAATTTAATAAAGCTACTCTTCATAATGATAAGACGAGTACGGAGCGTTTCGTTTCTTCCATGGACAGAACGATTAGATTCCGATGGATTACCAGATTTTCCTGACTCAAAGGGCTTTCAAAAAAGGCGGCTTGCCGGTCGAGAGCTCTTCAGGGACATTCTCCGGTTTACGTCATCGTTATCCTTTATTCTGGAGGATCAAAGGCGGGCGTGGAGCACCGCGGAACGAGAGTCCCTTGGTTATTCCGCTACATAGGTACGCGGATGGTTAAATGGACATTCGAAAGATGATTAAAGACAGTAGAGTTCTCATTTAAAGGATCTCAGGCGGTAAATTTGTAGTTAGCTTCATGAGACCCGTAGACATCGTCTTACGTTTCAGAAATTGAAAAGTATCAATTCTCGTTGGCGAATTTACATAATTAATGATTGAGAAAAGAGAACTTGTAATTTGAAAAGTTATACAGAATTTTGTTATACTTGTCAATTAAATTGATAAATTTTTAATTATGTGTACCGTTTTACCGGTATTATAAGTTGGAGCAATTTCCGAGGAGATTAGATAGGACCAAAAACAGTTTACTTCGGCTATCAATGGTTCGACTAACAAACTTTCAAACTCCTCCTGAACGCTGCGCGTTCAGGGATCTTCTGCAAGCTCGTATTAATAATTTATAAAGCTGGAAGTTTAATATGTGTTTAAACGTGGACGAGATTTAAGCACCGTTTTTATTTTCTGAAACATGCGTCGAAAAAATATGAAAAAAAGGTCGGTTACCGCGTCAGTCTATCGCTTTGAAGACAGTCGTTCGTTCGTTGCTCTCGATTTGCATGGAACATCTCCGCTGAGTCCAGAGAGAACATTTTAAATCCTGCATTATCTGGAGTCCGCGGAGAATCACGTCGAGTAATCCATTACGAATTTCTTCACGCTTCGACAAATCTCAGCAGAAGCGTGAAATTGAATGTACCTTCGGTCGAGTATTCCATTGCCCTCGAAATTTCTTTTTTCCCGTCTAGACATTCGATTATCCTTCTGTCACTTTTTCGCTATCGTTGTTCTGTGTCGATTCTCAAATACTTTAAGCTATGTGAGTTCAATGTTCAACATAAGGATAACTCAGAAAGTTCTTGACAATGAAATTCGAAAAAGATGGCCTTTAAGTTTTATACGAGATGACACTGTGGATCATTCTTCCTCAGCAGAAAACTTTTATTGAAGCGTTGTGTTTTTCTACTGCATTCGCAATCGAGTTCCAACTTCTCCAGCTTCAGCCAAGTCGGAAATGCAAATTTTTACCTCCGACGACAGTGTAAAAAATAATACAAGTGATTCGACGTTTTCCATGCATTATGCTTTACAATTATTTCAATCTTCTACAATTTCTGTTATTACGGTATTCCCTTTGATCTTTCACTAGAATTTTCGGTTTTTTCAATTATAAGAAACTAGGAACGTATTCTTATAACAAAGAAGCCAACACATGCTTTTGTACGAACAAAGAAAGGATAGAATAGCCAAAAAAATATGGTCGGTGCATCGGATTAATTCTAACGATAATACCCGAGCTGCAACTGGAAAAAATTTGAAGATACAAAACCGGGCGACGTGAAACAAACCGTAGAGTCAGAGCGGCGATTATTTTGAATCCTCTATGGGAAGTAACGGCAATATGGGTGCCCGCGGAAATCGACGGTCACAATTTCAACCAATTAAATCACCACCTGTCATTTGTTCGCCAACCTCTGTTTTTCCCACGAGCCTCGTTTCGGTATCTAATAGAATTAATCGGCGAAAAAAAATAGTTTAAAACTACAAAGGGTGCAGGATAGAATAATAAAAGATTTTTCGTGGAGAGGAAAATTCGTATCCTTTTTTTAAAAATAAAATTCGGATCGCAAATTCTTAAATATTCTGAAAAGTACAAAGGTAACTGCATTAACCGGTCGGAAAATTGGTAGAGAATATGGTTTTGAATCACAAAGAATGGACGGTTCAATGCTAGAAATTATCTTTCTTTTTTAAATAAAATTCAGTAGAGACTGAATATAAGTGAACCGCAAATACTTAAATATTCCAGAGCGAACATTTTTGAAGCACCAATACGATAAATAAGATTACATTGTGAAGCTCGAAAGGACCGAGTCAATGGATACCGAGTTCTTTGAGGCTTAACCTACTTTTTTTACAAAACTCATGAATTCCTCTAAAAAACTGTCAAACGTTCTGGAGCCGTTTTTTTTTTACCGCGTACGAAGCCTCGAGAATTCTTGTTAGTTAATGAACGCGCGAGATGATGGAATGACAGAACGCGAGAGGAGCCTCGGTCGTTACAGGATCCATCAATCAGACTGAAGGAATTAGCTCGAAGACAAGGAACTATATATCCATTATGAACTATCTATTTTCGTTGTTACTAAGTGTTAGTGCGTGATGTTAGGATATTTTCAGAGATTTAGTTTGTTTCACTACACCGAGAACATGTTACTTTCTTCGAGTGTTAGAAATTGTCTGAGGAAAGAAGAATCACGTGGGCGTAGAAGAGACACGCGTAGGCACTCGCGATCGCGTAAAAATTACATTATCTTTTTCAATAAAATTGTCGTCGACTTTTTAAAGATATCCTTCGAGGAAAATCCGGTAAATCCTTTTAATTCCGATGAAGAATAACACACAAGATCCATTTATTAATTTACGTATAATACGAATATTCTCTGCTCTCATATTTTTACTTTTGTTTTTAATGGTTTCGTATGCTATATTTATAATACTGTCGTCGACACTGGTAATTCCCGATTAAAACGTTGCTGTCTCATCAACGGTCCGTACGAATTTATAGATTCGAAAGCGACATGTAACGAGTAGCCAGATGATGATTACGCAAACGATGCATTCGGATGGGTTATGCCTGTTATTACATTGGTCTTTGCGTAAGAACGCGCAACACCACGTGTGGCGGCAGTAATCGGATATAAAGCCTACTTTGATTAACCGATTGTCAGGTAAACACGGCCTGGTAGCCGATGTCCGTTAATTATCCGTTGATGTCTCTCAGAAACTGGCTCAAGTCGAGTAATTAATCTACAATTACAGGGCCGATGGCGTATAATAGATTTTTCGACGATCCTCACGATCGCGTTATATAAGCTTTTAATGTTTGCGACTCAGCAACGTGTTGTAAAACAATCGATTATCGGCTCGTTAAATTGTGCGCACTCTCTCTTTAGCTCGGCCTCGCTTTCCTCCATTTGTTACTTTTGATTCGAGGGAAGTTGAAAGAAAATACCGCGTCTGTTTAACGAACCGCCGCTTTTTATCGTAACGAACGCTGCAAGTACTTCGGATGACGGACTAGATGTACAAATACGGTTTTTATGTCAACTTCCATTAGAATGGAAAAAAGATTCCATTAGAATGGAATTAGAAATAAACAACGTGGCGAGCTCTCCTTGTTTTCAATTAGTCGATCATTTAACAATTAATTTCAGCAGTGTGTTTTGCTAATGTGTGTGAAGAATGCTTACAAAAGAAGATCTTCATTTCTGATGAAGGCATATGTTATTCAAGTTAAATATAGGTGTTTCTTATTCTCGCTTAACGTAAATTTGCTTCGAACCTCATTTAGTGTAATATTAGCGTTTGATAGACAGAGCAGGTTTTCGACTTTGATCACTTAGAACACTAATTGTTTATCTTGGCACGATGCTCGCTCGCCTGCCCATGTCAAATTGCGGGTTTGTTCCATCGTTGTAAACGCGTCCATTAATTTGGAAGTATGATAGCGACCGAATTCCATCACAAAAATCTATCGAAATTCGTAAAATACGGAGACATCGGAAGTTGATTATCGGATTAATTCCTGGCACGTGGAAATTCTTCATAGAATTTTACCATTCAATGAGATTACGCTGTTATTTTTTCTTTACTACAGTTGACCGAAACGATACGTAAGTGGATCGAATAATGTCGCACGGCCATTAAACGAGTTTGTGATAACGTTCACGTGCTTGTTTACTGCAAATATTCGCCGTGCTCTGTGAGAAATTAACAACTGGGATCGGAACGTAGCAACAGACAGTTGAAATTTCGTGGCAATTCGCTACTTGGATGGCTAGTGGCCCGCTGCTTAATTTTCATCCGCGTTCTGCCGGGCAAATTCTGCAGATCTCGACAACTTCCGGATGTTTAGGGTAATCTAGCGAATTCCAAGAGTGGGAAACCTGAGCCGAGCTTAATTAATCGCGAATTAATTCGCAGTCACGTGTTAGGGAAACAATGCTTGTTCCTGTTTGCGCTCGACTTAATAGATTATTCAAATTAAACTCGCAAATCCGTACATCTGCTCGGATACTGATCCTATAAGCCTGGGTGTTCCGTTTTAAATTTCGTCCATTCCTCGCGCGAGAACGACCGCGCTGTTACGGTACGGAGCTACGAGTGAAACAACGACGCGGCGCGGCGTCACGAGAGTCGGGGTTATCGATACAGCTGCCGCTTTGCACGCGCGTTTTTCTCGCACGGTTTACACGCGAGTTTTATGGGCAATGAAGTCGAGCAGAAACCGTGCACCGATCTTTGACGCGCAGTTTATCGAACGCCAACTCCCCGTGAAAATCGTCGCAGTTTTATCACGCGCGCGCGTCAATTTATGAGTTCGCTTACAAATTCTATTTCAATTTAGTCCTTCCTTGCATATCTATTCCCGCGTCGTCGCGACAATTTAATACGTCACATCCGCGGCGTGATAATTCGTTAGCAAGGCAGATAAGCTATAAGCGCTTCGTAGGAGACGAGATTGTCTCGGATAATGCACTGAATAATGGAAACGTAGCGGGTATAACGCGCGAAATTACCTGTCCCCTGCGCCCTCGTAGTTTCCCTGTACAGTTCCTCGAAAACGTACCTAATCACTCCCCTCCGTTCAATGTACCATCAAACACTATTTTTTCAATCAACATCCAGGAGTACCCAATTTTAATCCCAGTTACCACCGATTGCATCTAACTGCAATCGCATTTATTTAACTTTGCACTATAAACAAATCACCTATCGAAACACTCCTTCTAATGAACCACTCACAGCTTCCAAACGTTTAGATTTTTCTCGATACTACAGATCTCTCAATTAAAAATCTCCAGTAATTTTTATTAATCACATTAGATGATCTGTAAGAAAGATTGCAGGAATTTCAATCACTCATCGAACGATCCTGCAGAGTTTCTATAATACGTTGATAGAAAACCTTTTTCTGATCTGATTCGGTTGTTGTGCGGTTGCCTGTTCAGTCAGGGCCGACAAGTGGTTTGACTCGACGCACAGTCCGGCTCAGTCCGACGTTCAGCACGGCTCGCCGACTACTGAGCCAGCCGACGCAAGCGTCGAGGCCCCTTCGCGCTCTCACCAAATGTCTTTTTCTCGTAGCTACCTGTTTGCGCGAATTCTATACGTTAGTCACAATATTTTTATCGACCTAACGCGGAGAGAAGTATTTTTCGTGAACGAAATACAATCCGATCGATGTATTAGTTATTCTTTTTATATGGAAATTGTATTTATTGACTAGAATTCAAGATTGAAAATTTAGAGTCTGAATAATATCAAACTGAATGATCCTTTTGACTAAATGTATTTATTCATATTTATTATTCATATATCATATTCATTATTAGTTACAAACTTCTGTTAACATTTATTAAAAGCTCTTGTTCTCAAGAAGTGACAATATTTTTTTTAGAAGCTATTTTATATGAAAACGAAAGGAGAGAGACACGTTAATGCTTTAGTCTTCGATGGGACTTAATTCTCATCGTTTTCGATCCCAATGGTAACTGGTTTTCGAGGATGAATGCAGCGATTCGATACGGCGAAAAGCTCGATCATCCTGTGTGACATGCATAATTCATTAACCACGGACCAGCGTTAAGGTTAGGGCGCGCGAACGAGAGCATCGCGATCAAAGGTCATCGTATAATGAACGTGTACGCTAATACTGTACTGGGAAACATGCATTAACCTGTCTTAACAATGGAAATGCGACCCAAAGCCAACTGGAAAAAATCCGTACCCTATTTATTAGCCGTTTGCGTCAACAATCTCCTACACGCTTTTCAGATTATAGTATCTTTTTCGTTTACGCAGAAAAACTTGATATTTTTGTATACTTCATCTATGACGTTGATATTATACGTAGTACAGGATTTAGCAATGTTTTTCAAGAAATTGTTACTCGTTTCTCAATTTCATGTGTACAACACATGACTTTTATTCAAAATTGTAGACTACATTTTTAACAAACAAGTACCAAACGAAGTTTTCACTGTTTCTATTTACTTGAAGTAGATTTTACGATTTTCACGGATCGTGGATAATCCTCGGTCTTGCACGGATGTTGGACTGCATTGTTCCGAGCAGATTTGATTGACGCGTTCCTTTACCACAAGATATAACTCCGACTCCTTGAATCGGTACGGTCCCGTTATTCTCTTGTGTCAAACTTGCTCGTTCGCCAACTCAATCACGGAAACGCGTTAATTTATTAACGTCGAATTTACACCCTGAGGGGAATCCACACTGTGATTAAGAAGAAGTAATTCGCTGACGTAAAGCCGGTGCCATTTACCTACAGTTTCTTCATTTGACAATTTCCACAGATATTTGAATTATAAGTAAGAAACGATATGTCACAAATAATTTAATTATGAATTATTGAAGGAACTAATTGTATGCGAACGAGATAAACAGCGATTCGAGCGATGGACGATGTCAGGTAACGCAAAGTTTGCTTCAAGTCGGAAATGAGCGAAAGTTCGCGTGTGCAAGTTCCGGTCGAAGATGTCCGAACGACGTGACGTTCCGATTTCTATTTCTCGATGGTGCGCGCCGAGAAGTTGCGACCGAATTTCTTGGGTAACTTCGAGGGATTCATTTGTCTCGAACGGGTATTTCATTATCGACTGGCCGCGTAGGATCCTAAACCTCGAAACTCGATGCATCGACGTCTGTCGTTGAAATGGTTCCGCGGTTCCTGCGTCAAACTTTACTCAGTTACAATCTATATACCTATAGGAGTTTCGTATCGAGGACTGATTCCTACCGAGGTCACCGAGATACGCGTATCATGGGCACGATACGCTCCGAGAAGAACTTTGTATTCCAATAATTTTGTCCGACGTTGAATAATGTAGAATAGAATAATAAGCATGGTTTTATCAATATCTATCGTAGGTGAAACAGGTTTAACTGTGAAGATCTATAATCTGCATGAATAATAAGACCATGGATGAAAGCGACGATTTTGCATTCGGTATATCTATCGGTGTCAAGGCTGAGAAAGCGGGTTAAGGAAAATTTGGATTAAAACTCTTAATAAGCTCTTGCGAGAGAGAACTTGCATCTCGAAATTATTATTAAATTCATTTAATAAGATTGTACCCAACATTATTCAAAATACCATTCCCGTGTGTTTCCTTTAAGTATTAAATCACGTGCCAGGGACGAATTCCTGTAATGTTTCACGTTTTCTCGATCCTCTCCCAGATGCACCTCTGCTTCCCAGGTAAGTATATTCCTACTTTAATATTGGAACACCCAAGGAATCGTTTCGAATGGTGCGTCCACTTTACTACGATTCTTGAGATGCTCTGCATTTCAACATACTTTAACTGCTAGTTTGATTCCCATGTCCCGGATTATTCTCCATATCTTGTCAAGGATACACGCGATCTATTTAGATTCATTTATTTGATTAATCCAGCGCGATTTGTATATAAAATCCAAGAGGGAAGATAACCGATGGTACGGTATTTTTTGATCGCCTGGAGCTTTCGAAGGAAGGGGGTTGATCGGCCTGGTATTCGATTACCATAGTGAAATATTGCCAGTGAAAATTCGCGAATCATCTCCTCGACGAAAATAGCCGCGTCGTCGTCGAGGAAAAGCCGCGGTTACCGGTGGAAATTCAGTGCCACCCTCGGGCTTTTACAATTCGTCTCGTTGCAAATACGATCCTTATAACCATTTCTGTACTCCGTAGAAACTCACGTCGGAAACGCGCGATATCGCGAACCGTGACGCACGTTTTCACTCGGCTACGGCTGCACACCCCACGGTTATTTACGTACCCCTAGGAAAAATCTTGCGTCGGTAAAAGAAAATCTCGGCGAACATCGCGTAACGACGAAAGACATTGAACCGTCGCGTCATTTTATCTGCAAAGATACGACTACGCTGTTTACCTTTTGTCTTCCTATTCTCGCGTATCATAATTGTATAATAATGTTGCCGTTGCAGAAAATTTCAGAATATGTACTACAGAAATTTATATTTGACTTTTGTTATTTTATTATTTGCAAGAGAAATTTTTCTGATGAATCAGATAGAAGAGTTCATTTCTGACAAGATAGGATCTTAGTGGAAAATTTCCAAGTCCGATCAAATATATCTATGGAAAAGATATAAATGTGAAGGTTGCTCTGCGAACTTTCAAACTTTGTCATTTCTTCACCTACTTTTCCTTTTTTCTTCGGGTACTTTCCTGATTCCCGTCTCCTTGTCTCATTCTTTAATTTCTCCGAGTTCGAAGCGGGAGCAGTCCTTTTACCCACCCACCGACAATGCTTTATTAGAAACGATGATGCGCAACTTCTAGCCAGCTTACCCACGTTCCAGCTGTTTGATTTATCCGCTAAATTTTCTCATACGTTTGCGTGAACCTTACAGACCCGGGTGCACGATGCGCGTAGACGTGAACGAAATAAAGAAGTTTCCAGTCAGTAAGCCAATTCGCCCGGAAAAAATAAGCTTCGAGTCTGCTAGTAAGAGTTAGTGTTATTCACGGGATTGCAAGAACATGAGTGGGTGTGAGAGATTTGATGAGTTTCCGGTTTTCCTACTTTGCATACTATTTCGTTTCTGAGTAAATGACTTTTATAAACGAACTTCTATTCGTTTTCCCAAACTTCGAATCTAATCATTTATTACAATCCTTAATCTGTACTTAACTAGAAAAGTTAGTTTCCAAGCATATTTCTCGAAAACATATCGCATTTCGTATTTATAGTTTAATTAGTTTTACAACGAGAAGGTGTGCGAACGGTTCACTAACTCAATCACACCTAGATTGAACTCCGCGAATTAAGTTTCCATGTTTTCCAGCAATCAGAACGTATTTATGTATACAGAAAATTTGCGTATTAATGAATCGGTTACAGAACACAGAATTTGTAATCAAGAAAAAGGATTCTCCTTTCAATTTAATCGAACTTATTACCATTTCAAGGTTTCTAAATCTTTTCGCTCAGTAACGTAATTTCGAATGGATTTTAGAATAACTAATTGAAATCGGATTTGAGCAGAAGAAGCTTTGAATACTTTAACTCCCATATTAAAAGGGGAATGTATTCATACCACAAGGAGAGCATTCCTCTTCAGCGACATCCCCTTTCATCCTGGATAATGAACTTGAGCACAATGATTATGCCGCTCTAATTAAGTCCCCTGGTCCTTTTTCAAGCCTACAGTCAGCCGATAATTGGACTCGTAGCTCGGTCGAATCGCAGCGTGCCGCGATCGCGTTTGCTTGTCGATGGGGATGTTTTCAGTGAAACGACTTCGTATATGTGTATATGAAGCAGGGCTTTTCTCTGGAGTGCAAAATTCTTGCTTATCGATTCGCTCTAACCGCGCTCGTAAACAGTAAAGTGCGATGGGAAGAGAAAGAGAAATGTTTCCCATGTCGCATTTGCAGTTTGAACGAAATCAACCGATGCGACGAGCTCGTCGAATCGAGTTTCGTTCGATTTCCTGGTTCGTAGCTTCAAGTGTCCTTCGAGAGAAAGTTTCGTTCATGGAAATTTTGCAATAGATTCAACGGTCCCCCGTACACCCTTATTTTATCGTAAATAATGGGGCGAAAAAGGGTGAAAGGACAGTGCATCTATATTGTAAATCCCTGCCGTGAATCTCTAAGGAAAACTCGACGTTGCATAAATTAACGGACTATCGAATTTACCGATTATCCACTCTTTCGGTTGAATTTCCATTGCGAGAATTTGCGTTTCAATAATTTCACGAAGGCTTCAAATTTTTAGTTATTTCAAATGGTCTCCGAAATGTTTGCAATCGGTATTAATCGAAATCTGACAGTGTACGGTGTTGTTTTTATTATTTCTTTTAAATTCCTATATAACATTTGCACCCGCCTGTAATAAAGAGCGAACAGACCAGCAGTCGAAGATTGATTACTATGCACGTTCCTTTTCATTCGCAATTTGAAATAAACCTCGACTGAACCGACAAAGGATGCAAGCCAGAATTTTCCTACCGGAAACGGGCTCGAGCGAAGTCGAGTCGCTCTCGATCCCCTGTACCTTTACCCTGTTTTGCACTTAGCGATTTACCCGGCCGTGCTTTTAGTACCCACTGGGAGAAACGAGATGTTCCTTCCTCATCGATTTCTGGTAATTCCCAATCTCTGCGCCTCGCTTCCGGTTTCGACCCGATATTGTGGTCGTACGCGTTCGCGCAGCTCTCCCGTTGGCTTACATGCAACCGAACTCTTGCGCTCTAACGCGAAACGTTCGCAACCCTTGTTTTAATCAACGTGTAAAAGATCACGGTCTATCGGCCAATCAGTAATCGCGAATGAAACCGCAAGATAATCTTCTCATTTATTTCCAATGATAAGCTTATTAATCGCAGATTTTTACGAATTAAATTATTCATAAGATTGGCGAAGTAATTAAAAGAAGATTGCTGCAACGCCCTCCAAATAATTATAGTTCAATGAAAAATGAATATTTTATAATAACTACTTACTCTAATAGTATTCAAGGTAAGCTTTAAAACTTAATATGTATAATACATTGCATATATCATTAAAATTGTTTTCCCATAAATAATAAAAAGCGATTTAAAATGCAATAGGATGTTATTAATGCTCTATTGATTCTCTGCTGCATCTGGTCGTTTCAATAGAGAAGAGAACTGAATAAAATAAATAGAATTTTTATGCAGACCGCCTGAGCAAAAATATCCTTCCGTATTTCTTCCGGACGGGAATTGTTCAATATCGATCCTATCCTAAGATTGTTATTCTCCATTTCTGTTTTGTCATTATTTGCCTCTACCGATCGAATCTCTCTAAAACATAATAGCTTTATAATATTTCATTTGATTCCATTGGATGGTCAGTACCGATACGACACGTAGGAAATATCCGATAAAAAATGAAATTAAATTTCAAGTTTCAATATACAATTCGTATCGTCGCCGTTTACTCCCCTTCTCCACGTGTTTCTTTATTGGAATAATATAACAGAGCAGAGCCGTCTCATAAAAAGATTTTCATCTGAAAGATGCGCAGGGGTCATTTATAAATTTCTATAGGCTCCGGCAAGTCTGGAAAATACGATTATTCGACTCTCTCCCCTCGGAACCCAACTTTAATCTAATTTCTTTCCCCGTCCTAGATACAAATCGAATGGGTAACTACAAACGACGTCTTTCCAAGAAGGTATACGCGTTTTAGGAGAATGATGTTTCGTTAAAATGATACGAATGTTTATAGAATTCGTTTGTTTTTCTTCTTATTTAGATTGGGGTTTCGATACCTGATAGAAGTTAATGGTAACTGTAAATAACGCAAAGTGATGTCGTTCGATTACGAAGTTATCTACTTCAAAATAAATTATATCGCATCAACACGCTACCTTTAACGTTCGAGGATAATTTTATTTGAGGAATGTTATCTAAAGTTTAATAATGCTGAATGCGAACGCGTCGCATACCAATTAACTTAACACTGCATAGATTCAATTGCATGGGAACTTCGGATATTCTACATTAACCCGACGGCGTTTGCATTCAACGAATACAAAGCTTGTCACGAAGCGGCGACGCGATTAACGATACTGAAACGATCGTGACCTTTGCTCGCGAACGGGTCTCCGTGCAACAAAGCCGAGTCTTAACCTTATGCTCGCGGAGATCCTTGACTAGCAAACGTATTTAACTAACCTTGCACTTAGCACAGTTACGGTAGAAAAGACTAAACTTAATTTGAAATTTGATTGAAACTTTGCTTGCATTTAAAGGTGATTAAATATTATGAAATAGCATTTTAGGGAGACAGATCAATCCTTAAGCGTATTTCATTAATCGACTTTTGATAAATAAAATCATTCTATGCTCGATCATTCTGAATAGAGGTGAAATTTACTCTACTTTGCCGGAACCATACGGCATTCCTGTTCTATTAAATTCGGTTGGAATGCAGCCAAGGAACTGAAACAACGAATTCCTTCAGTGCCTTTGAAGTTAATATTCCACCGCAAGCCGCGCGAAATAACGCACGACATAATTTCGCGTGCGTGATTTAAAACGAAATTCAACTGGTATTTAAACAACGCTTTTTATTGTCGCCCTCCTCTCCGCGATGATGAAAATCAGAGTCAGGTATAATAGGAAACAAACGAGTTCTCCACGATGCTCAATGCGTTCTGCACGCATGTGATTCACTTGATTATCGCGACGGCTTTGTTCGTCCACGTGCTGCGCAATTTGTTCGATTAATTCATCGCAACCGAAAACCCGAATGCTCTTCCTCCGCGACGACAGTGAAAACGTAATGGAAAACGTTTTTATAAAAGTGGCCTTTCACGGATAGAAGTGTACGCTTGTCATCTGAAAGGACGAGCCGCTGATTACGCGGTTGTTTAATCCCGCTGTATTTCGATGAATTACAAACCGTATCGATTTTCCGTTTCGTTTTCTTTTTTAACCAGCGATGGAAATGGATTCTCGCACGGGATACTGTGTAACAGGAAATACGTTTTTTATATCCTAAACGGTTTCACGAACAATCGTGCCCGTCGACTTCAATTCTCTTTCCTCAAACGGGTTAACAGTTATCTTTTTATTTCGAACGAACCTCTTCGCCGGTAATTTGTACGTTTTTGATTCGCGAACGCCACGCAACCAGCTACAGTTCGAGAGCCGTAAAGATTTAATCGACATATTCTCGAAGCGAAACGACCGGATCCAATCTTTCTTCGTTTTGTTTTCCTGCCAGTCTCCGGTTTAATGTCCGCAGTAAAAATACTGCACGTCCGCCAGATTAGCTGTACGTGGTAAATAACGTTGGCCGCGACAAATCATTTTGCGTCGTTATTATACTCGAACAACGAGTAATTTGCAAAAATTTTTGCACAGAGCACGCCACGACAAATTAACTTGTGAAGGCAATTGGATGAAAGCTTTTCGTATTTACGTGTGAAATAAGGAGAGCGGGCAGTGTACCGGATTATGTCTTGCTTTTAACGATGCACTCTTGGTAGCTCATTTTTAGATAATGTTATCGTAGAAGCTCGCGGCTGTAATGCCGCTTTTATGTAATGTTTAACACTCCTCAAATTATAAGAAACAATTACATTTTTCTTGATGACTTAATATCTCGAATTCTTTTTTCTGTTGCAGGCGATATCTTCGATGAAGTTAACAATAAATTAAAATCGATCTCAGGTTTGACAACGAACTGTCTCGGCGGTGGAAGGATTGAGCACGATCCTGATGAAAAAACCATCAAAGTCTATGGATACTCTCAGGTGAGTTTACATTCTAACGAATCTCCTTTACTATAATCGATCGGTTATTCTCATCGGGCTTGACACCTAACGCGACTCCTCCCACAGAGACATTTGGGATTTCCCATGAATTTTACATCGGGCGCACGTGTATCTCGCTTACTTAATTTTAATTAGTTTTAAATTTCAAAGCGTTGCTATCTATCTTCAGTTTAAACTGAGCTGACATTTTAAAACGGAATGTGTAAAGAATGAGTCATGCAGGTATTAGTAGATATCGAGTAAATTGAAAGAATATAACTATGAGATTTGCGATAGGAAAACTTTTCATTAAATCAAGGCTTAAACGGGATCAGAATTAGATAAAAATTAAAACTCACGGGAAACCGTGGCAAATGATATCGGGATCTCGATTGGAATTGTATTTGTAGAGCAAACTTGCTTCCACGGTTTAATCGTTTGGACAGCTGCCATTGTAAACTAATCATGTATCCTATTTTTAAGATTGTTGCCATCGCGAGATACGCATGAGATTTTCTTACGTTGATATTTAATAATAATTTATAAAAAAATGTAGCCACTTTGGGAATGTATCTTTGGGCGAACCAATTTTACGGCTGCCTTGGGGATATCGCGATGTTTTTCTTCCTTGTTTCAACTTGCGATCTAAGTCAGCAATAATTTAAGAGCCGATTTTTCCTCGGTTCCTGTGTACATTTTACGGATTGAGCCTGTGCGCTGAATCCGTAAACCGGAAGGATTCCTGATTTACGCTGTTTCTAATAAAAAGAGTCGGTCTCAGTATCTTGGTTTGTTTCCAGGGCTTTGGAAAGGCGGATCACGAGGTATCCGTTGCTTTACTGAAGAAGAAGTACCCCGATTACACTATCACCTGCTCCGACGACGGATACTAACGAGGAACGTTTTGACTAATTTATTTAAACATGTTCAATATTTAATTTAATAAACAAATTTTTACAAACCGAACTGTTGTACCT